ATGAAAACACAACACCCAGCAGGATGAGTGGGGGCAGGGAGGCCTGGCTTTCTCTAAGAGTCCGGATGACATCATTCGGGTACAGCTGGGCCTGCAGGTCCTGGTGGCCAAGAGGGGACCAGTTGGGCAGAGTGGCCGGGGTGGGCAAGGCCTGGGACTGGGGCAGATCACGGGACTGTTGGAAAAGTGTGTGTTCTAAAAAGGAGATGAGATAGCTCAGGCGGGACCTACATACTCCCCAAGAGGAATGCGCAAGAAATGACTTTTGAGGGGGACGGCATGAACTCTAGCTTAAAATAAACAAACAGGAAAACAACAGAATCCGGGCTGAGTTTCGAAAGTTCAGATAAGCAAAAAGGAAAAAAAAATGTACCATGTTATCAAATGGGCATCTATCATCCATTTTGTAATTTGCACAAGTATTTACACACACACACACACACACACACACACACACACACACACAGAGCAAGTAAGATTGTATGCAATGTTTTGTAGCTTGCTTTTTTTCAACCCACGAACATCTTTTCCATGTGGTTAAATCTTTTCCTGCAACACCATTTTTAACATCTGCATGGCATTCTGATGTAGGCTATCCCCAGGAGGCAGGGCAAAGTTGCCAATGGCAGCTCCAGGCTTGATGGTCCTTATAGCTCCCAGTCCCAAAGAGTAAGCAGGGGTCCTCAGCCGTTACTATGGCAAAATACTCGAGGAAGGTTCTGATTGGCCAGGCTTGGATCTTAAGCCCATCCTTCAGCCAATCACTGTGGCCAGCATAATTGAGGGATTTGATTGGCCAGGCCTGAGTCACATGCCCATCCTGTAGCCAGGAGGAGGCTGAGGAAAGGGATGCCAAGCAGACAAGAAGCATAGAGCCCCCAGACTGCAAACCAACAGAAACTCTACAAATACGTGTGGAAGGGATGTCCAACCAGGTGGTTGGGCTAAGACTAAAGGACCGTGAGACACGGTCCTTACCCTGAAGAGGGTTACAATTTGGGAGAGGCCCTAAAATATGCAAAACCCCATTAAAGAAGGGTTACATGCCAAAGATGAGATAGACGCACAGGAGGGCTTTGTTGCAATACAGACCTGGGGTCTAGGCCCACTTCCACTGTGACATTGGCTAATCTCTTTACTTCTCTGGACTTGAGCTCCATCATCCACAAAGTGGAATAATAATACCTACCACACACATTGGGGCAGGGTGAGAATTCCATCTGTTGACATAAGAAGAGCCCAGTTTGGAGCCCGGCACATAGTAGGTGCTTGCTTTGGCACATAGTAGGTGCTTGGTAGATGGTAGTTATTATTAGTTGTATTTGTGGGCGGAAGGGATGCACAGCACTGCTGCTTGGAAAAGGCTTAAATGTGAATGGTGGATTCATCATATCAAAAGGTGGGAACAGGGGCCAGCTGAGTGGCTCAATTGGTTAAGAGCTTGCTCAAAAGTGCCAGCTCTGAGCAACAGCGGTTCGAAGCCCGGCCTGAGCTGAGCTTCCGCTGGGCTGCCAACAGGTGGCAAGATGGCTCAGCTAAAAAAAAAAAAAAAAAAGGTGGGAACATGGCCAGCTGAGTGGTGCATTGGTTAGGAGTTGGCTTGGGACGCCAGCTCTGAGCAGAAGGACCCTGGTTCAGATCCCACATTAGGGCCAGTGACGTTGCTCCCTCTACAGCTAAGATGGTGAACAACAGCTCGACCTGGAGCTGGGCTGCCATGAATCGCTGGCAACGGCGTAAGCTGCAGTAGGGCTGGTCGGCAGCAGGTGTGAGCTTTTGTGAGCTGCCGTGAGCCACCGTAAGCCGCTGTGGGCGGCCGTCCAATGGCCGGCAACTGATCTGCCTCACCCGGGAAGAGCACAATGATAATACCAACATGGGCCAGTGAAGCAACGTCCTCCACAACTAGACTGAGGAACAAAAGGACAGCAACTTGTCTGTTCCCCTTCCCCAATTCCCCAACGCTGTTCCCATCCTCCCAATTCCCCAATAAAATCTTAAAAAAAAAAAGGTGAGAACAGCCCAAATGTCCATCAAATGATAACCAGATAAATAAAATGTGCTGTGTTCATACAATGGATTATTATTTGGCCATCAAAAAGAATGACGTGCTGGGTGACCCTGCCACATTAAGGTATCTACTGAAGGTCGGTGTGATGATGGTGGCAAGTCCCAAGCAGGATGTGACAACAATGAAGGGCAGCGAGTTCCAGGAGCAGCCCAAGTTCCAGAAGACGGCACACAGACAGCCTTTCCTAGACCTGTGACCACACAACTGGCCCCCACCGTGCTGCTCAGGAACATCGCCGACGGGAAGCTCACCCCACACCCCGCCCCTTCACGCACGCGGAGCTAGCTGCATGTGAGCGTAGGCGCTCACCCATAATTCAGAGTGGCGGCCTCCCGACTTTCACCTGGGGCTCAGCTCTAAAACCTCTGTTGATTTCCTTGACGGGTCTGACTCTGATTCCTTCCTCCGACAGGTAACCCCACAGGCTCCAGCTGCTTGGGGGAACAGTGTCTACCTCTGACCCACCCCTTAAAGGGAACATCATGGGTCCCCTGCTAGAGAGATGCCAAGAGACATTTTTTATTCAAGCACAACATAAACACAGAGAAGGACACAGATCTTAAGGGTCGAGCTTGATACACCCCCGCAAAGTGAACACACACGCATGACCACCATTGGAGCAAGAAACAGAACGTCACCAGCGCCCGGAACGCCACCTCCTGAGTGTCCCCTCCTGGTTATGATGTCATCTGAATGATGTCACCCGGAACTGAGTCCTGCCTGCTGGCTCTGGGGACTCACTTTGCCAGGCTCCTATTTGAGGTCAAACCATCCCAAACACACACCCTAATTTTTCAAAATCCTGTCCAGTCATTTTTGCAAAGTCGATTTTATTTATATAGAAATCCCAGTCACCGTCTAATTGGGTTAAGCTTTTCATTGCTTGCCAACCAGTTTGTCTGCATTTATCTGTATCGGGGTGACAATCTTAGAGGAAAAGACACTAGGTGGCAGAAATTGTGTCTGTTGAAATCGCTTAGCATCTAGAGAAATATCTAGACTTTAGTCCAACAATCCCCTTTGCTTCCTGGGGGAGCAACCCTGGAACAGAAACGAAGGACAGGACAAATATAAACTAAGTTTCCACTGCCGTCAGGATCGTGAGAACAAGCCCAACACCATGGATGTCAGTGTGTAAGGCCTGCCGTGGCCCCCGAGCGAACACACCCTGGGATTCTGGTTCTGGGGTCCCTGGGGTAAGACGTTTAAACAGCTTGTCTTGCTTACACCTGTTGAGTTGGCGTTTTATTTATAGTGGGGAGCAAACCAAATAGAGACCCAACGTCAGAACAAGAACACGGTCACTGCATTGTCCTCATTCCGCCTGTTTCTCACAGACGGGTGACCACCACTCTGGGACCGACCGTAGGAACTGGCTCCAGCCAGCTGGTTCTGAAGGAAGTGCCATGGGCCCAGGGGGCAAACATGGAGGGCAGATGCAGAACAAGCTGGCTGGGCCTGCTTTTCCCAGAAATGCGCTCAGAAAACACATCCATTATTATTATTTTTTTTTTGAGGCTTTCTTTTATCATGCTCAGCAAAGCTGTATGTGCCAAACCTCCTTGATGGGGCTGGGTGAGTAGGAGGAAGATATTTGATTTGTGAAAAGTTAACCTTGAACAAAGAAAACCAGAAAGACTGCGTGTCTTGGGCTGACGGATTTTACGGGAGTGAGGCCGAGTTTATTGCCATGAAATGTGCTGATGGCGTGAAAGCACGGAGGGTCACCTCCTCCCTGCTGCACCCCTGCTTCCCACAAAGGTCCTACCCAATCTCCCTATTGGCATTTGTGCCCAGGGCACCACCATGGCACGACGGCTCCAGGAAAGAGGGGTTTACCTGCCTTTCTTCTCGTATTTCTTTCACCAACGTTCCATCTTGGGGAACACAATTGCAATGCGAGCTCTGTGTCCGGGCTTTGAAAATAAGAGGCAGTCGATGAATGGCACCAGGTATGGAAGTAGAGAAGGGGTGGAGGGTGTGATGTAAACACCTAAAAATTCTGGAATAGCTACACCTATTCTCATTTGTTTTCTCTCCAAGTATGATTCAAACAATGGAATGTCACTTGCTGTGGTAGGCACTGGGGGTAGAGAAATGCTGGAGGCACGGTGCCTGCTCCTAAGCCACTTGTTGTCTAATCAAATAGACGGACATACGGACAATCCCTATAATGAAATGGGGAAAATATTACAGCAGCCTTCTGTACTGGCTAAGGAATTATAGGTAAACTACGCATCAAACACAAACAGAGTTAAACGGTAAAATAGGTTTACTGGCTCACGTACCTGGAGAATCCCCAGGGAGAACAGGCATTGCCATGTTTGATCAAGGCTCTCCCCTCCTTTGTGCATCTGCTTCTTAAATGGGATTGCCTCGTGGTCACAAAATGGCTGCCAGTGCAAGTAGCACAGCCGGGCTACACATTTCCACATTCAAGCTTCCTTCTTCAGTCATGGGCCAGAAGCCCTGAACTCGGCTACAGAGTGGTTAGTATTGTAGCTGTCTGAAAAGGGGTCCTCCAGGCCCCAGCTGCGCTGCCCCAGCCGACGGTGCCACGTGGAACTAGGATAAACCGTTCCTGCTGAGCCCTGCCCAAACTGCAGATCTATGAGCAAAACAGATTTAGTCGCTAAAGTTTTGGGGTGATTTGTTATACAGAAACAGATAACTGGAATAGGAGTTCTGAAAACGAGGTTCACGCTGCTTTTTAAACGTTGCTGGAGCCACTGCGGCCGTTTTGGCACTATGATAAGAAGCAAGTTTCTGCTGCAGAAGCTACAAAGGAGAGGTGGCCCTGAACTTGGTCCTCTGGACACGGCTGAACAGCTGGCTCAACCCTCCAGGAAGCCCACCCAGCCTCTGTACTTCCCAGGTAATATGAACAAAAACATCCTCTCCAAAGTTTAAGCCTTTCTGAATTGGATTTATTACTTATAACCGAAAGTATCCTAACAAATGTGTCTACAGCCGCTAACAGGAGCACCACCTGTGTTTAACCGGAGGGCAATGTTTCAATCAGGTACTTGAGGACAATGACTAGACTGGCCTGGAGAGAGCTGGGAGGCAGAGAGGCCACGCAGGAGGCTGTAGCAAAACTTCCACGCAAGAGAAGGTGAGGGTCAAGGTGACGAGCCTGGAGAAGGGCATCGCTGAGTGACAGTCCACACGTGCTGTGCTTGGTACTACATGTGATAGAAAGTTCCTAAATCTGACCCCTGTTGGATGAAGAACAGGAAGAGGAATTGAGCTACTGGGAGTGGCTTGAAGAAGGCCGCCCGGCCTCTGCCTCCACTCAGCTCCGCTCCCACGGGGACTGAAGCGTCCCTCCCACGGTCCCGTCCTCGCTGTCCGGCTGTGAGGAGAGGCTGGAGCTCACAGACTCGGAAAAGGCCCTGAGGGAAGAAGGGGAAGCTTCTAGGCCCAGGTGGCTCAGCCCTGAACGGCTTGTCCACTGTCCTGAACAAACGACTCGCCCTGTTTCAGCATGTTGTCCTCGTTCTTGGCTGGTCCCCACCCAGACTGACCTCAGCCCATCCCACCCTCCAGCGGAGCAAGGCCGGCCCTCCCCACCCCCACGCCCCCTCACACAGCTGGTAGCTGTTACTGCAAGCCCTCAGATGTTTACCGAAGGGCTCGCTCTGCATTTTCTCTCCTCTGCTAACAGATTCTTAAAGGGGCCGGGCTAGTTTTCCTCCTCCTGGGCCTCAGGGACCCTTCTCCCCCTGGATTCTTCCTGGGGGTGCCCTCTTGACCTTGTGTAGAGAGCAGGTGTCAGGGTTGGGCCAGCTAGGGCCAGCAGGCCAATGACTCCTTGGGGCCATGGTGGCTGGGCCACCCTGACTGTTATGGGGGGGAGGGGAGGGGGCAGCTAACTGGCCTCCTTTTCTTCCTTGGCCACAGGGTGTTCACCCCCACCCTGAGACCCACTTCTCAGGGGACGCCATGCCAAGGTCCTCCCGGCTGGGCCCCCTCCCTGACTGGTGACTAAACATAGGCACCCCCAGGGTTTGGGCAACTCACAACCCAGAAACACCCTCTTGCCAAAATGAAGAAAATCCTTCTTAACAGAGCTGAGGCTTTTCAGCATTTTAAAAAATCCTCTGACCTTGCATGAGACCAGGCAATCTGCCTGTGCATGTGTCCAACAGGCCCCGCCAAGGTCAAGGGGAGCTGCCCAGCCCGTTGTGTGGTCAGCGGCAAGTCCTCACTGTTCCCAGGCTCCAGGCTCCAGGCTTCAGGAAAAGGCAGCCCAGCCCCACGCAGGCCTTCCTGGCTGTAGCACAGGCTCGGTGCCCACGGGGGCCCAGCTCCGTGCCTCTCTTCCTCCCTGAACCATCTTTTATGTCAGATCCACCTGGACCTCTGAGGTGACCTTGCTTGTCTGGTTGTAACTGAGAGGAAGCAGCAGGTGTGGGCAGGGGGCTCTCCAGGGTAAGTCCGGGCAAGCAGGGGCTCAGCCTGGGTTTAGGTGCTTTCAAGCGGGCATGGGCTTCTTCTGCACCCCCTGGTGACATTTATTGACTAGGCAGCTGCCCTCTAAGGTGAGAGGGTGGGAGGGAGGGGTCGCCCAAGACCTCCCCTGAGAATTGCATCTCCTCGCAGGCTTGGAAACGGCCCCAAAGGCAAACCAGGAAGATGAGAAAGCCACCAGCCCCAGGAGATGGCGACGGTCAAAAGCAGCCCTGGTTACCATCACCACCCCCTAAGTCTGTGTTGCCAAGGCAACGCTCCTCCCGAGCTACCCATTCCCGCATGGGGTTTGCTGTGACTGAAGCAAAGCCTCTTGCACGTGGCTTTTCAGAAAGGGCTTGAGGCTGATCTAATGGGGAACAGCTGCTCAGCACACCACACACGGAATTATAAGGAGACGCCATGCCCACCATCCCCTGCCCAGCTCCCCTGCCTGCAGGCAAGGGTCTGGAGAAGGAGGCCCATCGGCCCTCACCTCCCGCCGTGACGACCTCCACGCTTCCTTGAGCAGTCCTACCCAGACACCTGCCTTCTCCCGTCCAGCCCTCTCCTCACCCTCCATTGCAGCAAAAAAGGGGGAGTCCAGGGAGCCAGCACCGAGCCGACCCACCCAGAATGGGGTGGTGGGGCTGTGATGTTGTAATATAATAAGAAACGTGTACTGGGTTTCCTTCCTGGTTCCTGGCACAAGAGCTTCTAAAACCTCTGGCATTTCCTGAGTGGTTGGGATGAGAGCATCTTTCCGAGTTCAGAATGAGCCCCTTCTGACCATACCTGAGTGTATGCTAATGAGGTGACTCCTGTGGGTTGAGGGGGCGGGTTGCCAGGGGCCTCAGCCTGTGGTTAGAAGCTTGGAACTGTCAGCCCCACCCCTGACCTCAGGGGCCGGCCAGTGATTTAACCAATTGCGCCTTTGTAATGAAACCGCCATCATCAAACCCCCTAAATGATGGGGTTCGGGGAGCTTCCCTGGTGAACACCCGGAGAGGGCGTGGCAGCTCCCGCCCTTCCCCCATACCTCGCCCTATTCATCTCTTCCTCCTAGCTGTTCCACATTGAACCTTTTCATGTGAAGCCGGTGACAGGGTTTCCCTGAGTTCTGTGGGCAGTTTCAGCAAATGAGCCAACCTGGGGAGGGGGGTCGTGGGAACTCCTCACCCCCACCCCCGACTTGAAATGGGTGTCTGAGTGTGTGTGTGGGGGGGGCCGTCTTGTGGACAGAGCCCTTGACCCTGAGGTCTGTGATCACTCCAGGCAGCTAGGGTCAGAGAGCAGGAGAAGCAGCGTTGGAAACACCACCACAGACTGGCTGTCAGGGCGGGAAACACCCTCATCTGGTGTCAGAAGTGTCATGAGTAACGGGCCCGGGCCCGGGAGGGACAAGGTTGGAGGGAGCTGTCACAGGCAGGCACAACGCAGGGCTTTGCGCTCAGAATCCCGGATTGCTCTGAAAACACAGGCCAGGGCTTCTGCCTCGGTTGGCCCGGGCACCCCGAGAAGTTGCCTCGCTGACAGCTCCCGGGAGTGCTGGCGCTGCCCACCAGGGACCCACCTTTGAGAGCCGCGGGTTCATGGGATCTGAGCCGAAGCTGACCTCGGCGGGTCCCTTCACAGCTTCATCACTTCCTCCACTTCGATTCACGTGTCAATGCTTGGGTCCTTCCCCCATGTTGATGGAGCAGAGGAGATGGCTGGCATACGCCTGTGCTGACCTTTGGTTTGAATGCATAGGTTGCTTCGCTCATTCAACAAGAGGTGAGGCTGACAACACTCCCGCTCTGCGATGGGCACTCTCAAATCTGATGGTGGAAAAGAAAGATTCAGTCCAGTGGTGGCACAGACACAAGCGCGGCCAGCCATGCCCTGTGCGAGGATTATTGCGGGGGGATGGGGCACAGAGGGTGTTGGGCATGGGCAGGGCAGCTGACTCGAGGCCAAAAGCAGGTGTTTCCAGAGGTCCCCAAAATGTGGTCCCAGGACCAGCGCCCTGGCCTTGCCCAGAGATGGCTAGAAATGCAGATGCTCAGGCGGTTTTTAGTAAGAACCTCGAGATCTGAGGCTCCTCCAGGGTAGACAGACCTGAAGGATGCATAGAAATTAAACTTGTGAAAGGGAGGAGAAAAAAAGTTCCAGAAAAAAAAAAATCGTAAGTGTGCATTCTGAGAAGGAAAAGAGGTCTGCTGACCAGGGCCAAGATTTGCATGCGTGTGTGTGTGTGTGTGTGTGTGTGTGTGTGTGTGTGTACAAGCGCAGATAAGCCTCTTTCCTTGTGAAGGGACGGCCTTTAGGGACACTTTGGCTGCTCCCCACCCCTTAGCTGTCGCAACCAACCAACCCTCTGGTTTGTGGGGTTGGGAAACTTTCAACAGGTCACCCTGCCCTTCACTGCCCGGACAGTAGGGAGCTAGCTAACTCCTCTCTTTGGTAAAACTGGGGCGTTTTGCTAGAATTCCCAGAGCAGATTTGTACTTTATAAAGTCAGCGCCCCCTTCCCTGTGGAGCCTGGACTGGCGCCTCGGGTGTCACGGTGCCCAGGTGTACCCTTTAAACAGGTGGTGGCCAAGCAGTGTCACCTTCATGTCCGATTTCTGGCCTCTAACTGTGAGAGAATAACTCTGTGTTGTTTTAAGCCCCCCAGTTTGTGGCGATTTGTGACAGCAGCTCCAGGAAGCTCACATAAGCCCTGAATTCCAGCCTCTCCCCTGGAGGCAGGCCTGGGCGTCCCCGTGACCCCTGGGTCTGAGGTGGGCAGGACAGGCTGGGGACCTGGGCCCCCTGCTCTGGGGTTGAGGCTGTCTGTAGGGGGTGCATGGGGGTCCGAGTGCTGGCGCACTCAGGTGAGGCAGAGCTGTGCACGCTTGCTCCTGGCTTCCCTGCTCCTGCAGTTTCTCACAGAAGCCTGCACCCTCCCTGCCTCACCCTGGGCAGTGCGGTGGCATCTGGGTCCTGGGGCCCCTCAACTCCTCTAGACTGACTGGCCTGCCCCCCGAGACCCCTCAGTCCCCTCTTCAGCATTTTTGCCTTTGCCCAGACCTGCTTCGGGTCCCTTCCCTCCTCCCTGGTCTACACCCGGGCTGCATTCCCCAGCCCGTCTTCCTGATCAGGGCACTGCGTCATTCTTACGTCTGTGCCGGCGGTGCGTTTGTCTCCTGCAGGCAGAGACCCGACCTCTTGCACCTACCCGCCTAGCCCTGGGGATCTCGACCAGCACCCCCCGCCCCGCTGGCCTGAGTGCACACAGCAGGTCTGGCGCAGGCACCCATGCACACGGAATCGCAGGAGCGTGGGAGCCGCCGTGCGAGGCAGAGGGAGCCAGCAGGCAGCGCCACATTCTTTCCTGCGTTTTGCAACTACCACAGGCTTGGCTCCCAGCGCCTGGCGTCTCCTCCAGCGACATTCTTTCAAAAGATCAGCTGCTGCCACATCAAACCTTTTCTGTCCAGCTCTCTCACTGAGGCCCCGGGCTGGCTACCTTCGCCCAGGGCTACATGGGTGGGGCACCAGGAAGTCACCTCGCGTTCCAGACATTTCAGGGAGCCTTGAGCGTGTCGGTAGAATGCTATGGCCACAACCTGTGTGGGGGGCTGAGTAGCAGGAAGAGGAATTCAAAAACCGCCTGTGGCCCGAGGGATGCAGTGTTTTCAATGAGTCCTCGTGACTCTCCCCACTCCCCTCCACCCCCCCACCCCAACAGAAGCACAAACACAGGTCACAAACTCCTTGCCCCCAGTCAAGTGTGTCCCAAACCAGTAACTGTGGCAGAGAGGACGGGGCTACCCTGGCTCCTTCCTGGGACCACCCACGGGTGCTGGAGAAGGCACATTGGGGGACCCGCAGATGGAAGGAGTCAGATGGAAGATGGGTGACAGTGAGCTCTTGGAATGGTCGCAGAGGGCGAGGACATTTACGTGCTGGACCAACTGTTCACCAAAGGCCCGTCCAGGCTCTCATCTCCTGGGGGTAGGAAGGCTGCTCGGGGCGGGGGTGTGTGTGTGTGTGTGTGTGTCATTCTGCCCCTCTCCAGCCACAGGGCCTGCTGGCTCTCAGGTGGCCTTTGCAAGGGCTCACCTTGGCCTTGCCACCAAGGCTGATGTGATCCGACATCTGCTTGTGAGCCCTCACCTGGCACCTCGCAATACCCAGGTGGAGGAGCCGGCTCCCCAATGGCGGTTGCTCACGGCGATGCTTCCCATTGGAGGAATCGACATTTACTGTAGACCTGCGTAGGTCCTCCCCACCTGCCATGCTGCCCTCAACGCTACTCGTGACGGCTGCCCCCAGCTCATGCAGGTGCCGAGGCCCAGGAGCTCACCGCCGTGTGAGTGGCCCATGATGCATAAGTGGCTTATGAATAGGAAGGCTGGGACAAACACTAAGGCCCAGGATGACAGCAACCTGGGTCTGACGACATGTCAACAGTATATTAGCCAATCTTGGAGCCACCCCACCTCCAGAGTCCTTAATAAACCATTTATTGCCAGCCCCCTCACCTCCCCGCCCCAATAAACAATAATCCAACCCTGCTCTCCAGTCCGAAGCACGTGCTGTGCTCATGGCCAGTGTGTGGCTCCCCCATACCTGGAATAGCAGTACGGGGCGAATGCTTTGCTTCCGGTCTCCTGAAACTCCACCAAGAGGCACCTCCACATCCCCCTGAACCGGAAGTTAAGCCTGGCACCTAGCCTAGAGGACGACGCATGCCCAGAAGGTGTGCGTGAGGGCTGCACTGGGCTGGCCAGTCCTGACTGTCAGGGGGCGCGGGGCTGCCACTCAAAAGTACAAGGTGGATGCAAGGACCCCGAGAGGAGGGGGAGCCTCCTCAAAATGCTGGGTCCAGTGGCTCCCTGCAGGGCTGCAGCCTTCCTTGCAGGCAGGAGGCACAGGGCCCAGGGCTCTCTGGAAGGAAGATTCTGGTTCCCTGACCAGGCCCTTCCCTTGGCTGCTGGCAGGGGACTCCGGAGCGGACAGGAGCGGAGAGATTCTAACTGCTGCAATGAGACTAAATTCTACCCCAGGCGCCACCTTTGCCGAGTCAGCTGCATTTATATGAACATTTCCTATCTGTTTTCGTCCTTTACCTGTTGTTGTGCTCGACTGTGGTGTTGGTGGTAGTCGACAGTGTGGTTTAAATATTATAAAACGATCCACTTTAAAAATGCTGAGGAATCGCCGTAGACGCAGTGAGATGGCGGGGCTGGAGCTGGGTGTGAAACCCGGAGCTGGGGGGCCCCCCTTCGTTGGATCAGGTGGAGAACGCGTGTCTCTGCTTCTGTTTTCTGCAAAGCTGGTGGGGAAGAGGAGTGTGCGGCGGGGGTGGCTGCCATCTCGGCTGCCCAGCGTCGGAACCTCCCTCCCATTGGGTGAGGTTTGTGCCGCTCTGCTCCTCCACCCCCCACGCCCCC